CAAGTAAATTAGTTATGGAATCATGATTTTCTTCTGTTAATAATTATTAAAAATTTGACTTTATATATATGCATTAGCTTAACATACAATTTCTTTTGCTTCTACTTCGTATAGTTTTACATTGAGTTCTAACATATGTATGTGTCCAGTTTAGAATTCACTTTGATTATATAATTACATATTTTCTAATTAAAACCCGAATAAGAAACAACAATAATACAAGTTGAAAATTTTACTCAATTTACTTATTACAAATGATATTGCTAGATAGATTATATTCTTATTAAAGATTACAAAACCATGATAATAAAGGATTAAGAAATAAAGCCATAATTCCCATAAAGGTCATTCTAAAATTAAAATTCAAAAGCATAAAAATCATTCGTACTTTATTACAAAGTTATAGTTGCATTGCATTCAACCCCTTTTCATAAGTTCACATCTAAAACAAAGACATATATAGTTCAGAATTTCCGTGCCAAATTAATAAATAGAATAAAGTTATAAATTAACGTCATACTTTTGAAGGGAGTTTCCTTGATGCCTTTAGTATAACATAATTTATACAATTATATGACCAAATATGCAATTTAAATAATCAATTAAGAAAGAATTTCTTCATTTTAATTTAATAATCCTCATCGAATGTCACCAAACACGCTAATTTCTAATTATTTAGTTGCTTTTAAGCTAAGAACACACCAACAGAAAGACCTTCATACATTATTATTTACAAGTAATTAACTTAATTAATTAAATAATTTATTGATTAAAGCTTTAAGTACGTCTAATTTAGCCAATTTAGAATTTAGATGTACTAGTCCCACCATTAATTATCATGAATAGACTGCGCCAAAGTTGGTGTTCAATGTTTCACGCCTTCTAACTTCATACTCGTATTATTAAAATTTGTCTTTTCGAAAAGGCCATATTAATCTAATTAAAATTTTCTATCTAACTGATCCATGTTACTTTCAGTCATATTACGCCTTTTAAGAATCAAAGTAATTGAACGCAAAGTTGGCATGCAAGAGTTTATAGACGACAAACATTAATCATAAATCAAAATGCATCGTTTGATGATTAATTTTAATCAGCATATATAAAACATTTGTTTTGACTTAATTAGGTGTGATTCTCTTATCTATTATAGGAGTTTAAGAAAATCTTCTTATATATGATTGGGATTTGTTTGATGGTTTCATAAAGTATTTGGTGGGATCGTCTCACACAAACTTATTACGGGATATCATGACTTAGCTCATCCGAGTCTAGAATTTTAGATCTTGGCTCGATCAAGCTCGTGTCGACGAACATAGGCTGCTATATATGAGTATGAAGTATAATTGAGCCACTCCAATGCTCGAGTTTATTTGTTTGTCTAGAGTCCCTTTTATCACTACCTTTACAACCACACACAATTGTTATATACTAATTTGGTTTAAATGTTTCTACAAATAATATCATTGATTTGTGCAAAAAATATTAAAGAGTATAATAAATTCTGTCACTCGTATAAGTCATATTTAAGTGTTGTTGAAAATATTGATGTTGAATTAGAAGGACAAATATAATTACATGATTATGACTAGTGCATTTATATATTAAGATTATACGTACTCCATATCCAAAATATTTATCAAAAGCAAAGTATAACATCATTTCTTTCATTTTTCCAGTTGTAACATTGGTGTTTTCATGCTCATTAATGTATTATAATGAAATAAAGGTTTTAATTGACAAATCTAGTTAATGGTGAAAATTATTGTCTAGATAAGGTTTTTATAATGTTTGACTCCTAATAGACAAATTTCCTACCAAAAAAAGAAAGTAAAAAATACTTGTTACTCTCTTTGTCGTCCTATATATGATTTAATTTCTATATTTCATAAAAAATGAGGGTAGTGCAAAGAGTGTATAATGTTCACATCTAATAATAGCATTACAATTTGATTAAGGGTCTGTTCACTCTAACTTAGTTTCAGTTAATTTCAATTCAGCACCAATTAGTTCAGTACAGTTTAGCTCCTAATTTTCTTCTCTCATAAAATATTCATTTTAGCTCTATTCAGTTCAGTTCAACTCAGTTTAGTAAATGTGAACAGGTTCTAAATGTGTCATTTTTTATTTTTTTTATCAAGATTATAAATCAAACATGCATCCAAAGAATTTTGGATACATCCATATTTTATATGAGAGTATTAAAATTCGTAAAATTACAATTACAAATATTAGAAACGGCACTATATTAGTACAAAGGTGGTACTTATTTTAACAAAATCTTACTATAAATAATATAATGAATTAGCTAGTATAATTTGAAAGGGGTTGAATATGTAGTAAATCTTATTCGAAGTATAATAATAGAAGAGCCGTTGTTATAAATATAATATGATTTACATGCACTATATTACATAATACATATAGTTGAATTGTTTTTTGTTTAACAAGTTTAAAAAGGCCTGCACTAAGCTAGTTGCATAACAATCAAATACACGAATGATACACGGGGATGGAGGATAAAAATAAGACAGGCCGAATAATAATAAGATAGGATAAACCAATAAAAAACAGAGAAATTTAATTTAATAAATTAAACAAGACTACGACGGCAAATCATCAGCCTTACTACTATACACCTACGCCCATTTCAATCGACCGTCACATCACCCCCTAAATTACAAATATCTTACAATTGAAATTTCTAGAGGAGAATCATCTACCATTAAGGGGTGATTGCGGAGTTAATTGATCTAATTTAATTCTGTTATAAACCGAACTGCTGTAAACAATAAAAACAGAACAAAGTTACCGGGAATTAGACTGAGTCGCGGACTATGTCGCTCTCTTTAGAACATTCACGGTACTGCCCTTTAATTTGTGCAAGCAGCTCGTACAACAACCGGATGTTCCCCAGGATAAAACAGTCTGTCTAAGCAAGGAAAATACCAGTGGATTTGCACAGAACCAGTGGACAACTAACCACCAAAAAATATAAAGAACACTGCTCGAATATTTTGTAAGAGAAAAAAGGGATTAGAAAAATTCTGTGATTTTTTGTTATTTTTAAAAACAGTGAACATAACATGATGTTTTATAGGCAAAACAATGGTATAACGGTAGCAAAAACCGTTCCAACACCAGCGTGATTAACGCCAAAAACGGTCAATTAAAACGTTAATTTACCCAGTCAAAACAGCTAGTAAAACGGCCAAAGTTTAATTAATTTGGAAATAAACGTTAGAGAGATAACCAGTCAAAACCGTTTAGCAAAAATCAAGGCACTAATTACGTAATTAAGCCTTGTTCAAAAACTGAGCAAAAATTAAGTTTAATTAATAAACCCGACCCAACCCAACCCGGCTCGGCTCGGCGCGCGTGTGTGATAAGTGGGCTTGGTAGGTAAGTCCTCCCTCTCCACAAAATGTGGGTAGCCCAAGGGCCACACCCAAATACTCCACATTCTCCAATATAAGGGAGGACAAACTTCTATTTCCCACCAATGTGGGACTTTTTGTTTTCCACAAAATTTACACCAAAACACACTTGTTCCAACAAATTCTAATATGAGATGGTTTCATAATATATGAAAAACGACGTTTATCTCATTCACTATTTAGTTGTGAACACCACGTATTAATAATACGAAGTATATATTTGTATAAGTTATCTATGTGATATGAGTACTTCACTGATCTTGGATCATTTAACAATTTTAAGCAAAAGCTATATATCTTTCATATATGAGCTGTGAATTGTGTGTGATTGTGTAAATGCTTTAGCATAAGTAAGCAAAAATAAAATAAAAATGAGGTTAATTAACCTTTGGCAAATAAACAATAAAAATGGAGGAAGTATATAGTTAAATACTTAATACAGTAGATTATTAGATAAGAAGTATATAATCTAATAACATATTGTTACTGACTGACTTAAAGCTGTCACTAAAAATGATAAAGTATATTAATCAATTTTAGATTTCAACTATCAATTTTAACCTTTAATTGAGTTGACCCTTTACCATAGTGTTATTGTATGGATGGCGAGTCTCTTATAAACTAGGTCTTTAATTACTACTAAAAGAAAAGGATTTATTTCGACCATATGTCCAACCCATAAGAGTATTATTGCTCTGACCTTCCCAATTAGCTCTAAATACAAATACTACTTGGTAAATAATTTCATGATATAGTAGGTGGACAAAATACGTTTTGAAAGCAGTGAGTCGATGACCATTATTAGTGTGATATATATTTTACTAAATCTCACATGGCATCAAAGTGATCAACTTCAGTTCTCTGTACTAAGTAAATCCTACGGATTACTATTTATTTTTATGGAAATTATCAAAAGAAGCTGTCATTGAAGTATTCTTGCAAATATTTGTGCTTCTCCTGGCCCTCATATCGATCCCCTAATTGCATGAAACTGATAGCTGTACACTTACTACTACATTGCTTAGTTGGTTGTCATACTATTTTGAGATAACATGAATGTGAATATATTTGGATTATTAACCTTAAACTGATAAAATCACTGTGCTAATGTACTTAGTTGGTTGTCCTAAATATTTAGGGAGTAATAGGCACAAAATAGCATGGAAGTGAAAGATTATGGATTAACCCTAAATTGATTAAATCACACTATTATTAGATATGGTTACATAAGCTACAAAGGCTATTGTAAAGTGACTATGCAGCTTAACAAGTTAGATACCGAGGCTTAATATCAAGTGGTATTAGAGCTTATGGCCCGGCTGGGGCATTAACATGCAACACAAAAGAACGGTGTGACTTGATGACGTGGGTAAAAGTCTTTGATAATTTTTACCGGAATAATTAATACGAGTACTTTCTAGAGGTTGATTTGTTGTACCTAAATACCCAATTATTAGATATGGTTACATAAGCTACAAAGGCTATAAAAACTACAATAGTGCAAGTAAACACAATAATAAGAGTCCCAAATGTGAATGAAATGGGTCCCTTTCCCTTTCCCTTTCCCTTATAAACAAGGTCTATTGTAATTGTAAGAAAGAGTTGAGCTACCCTCACCTCCATCCATGACCATCCACCCTTATTTAACCCCATTTTGGCTATTACCAACCTGTCACTCTATCTTCATCACTCATCTTCTTTCTCACTCTCTCTCCTTCTCTTTCTCTTTCTCTCTCCTCCCAACAGAATCACCCCTCTTCACCTCCAGCTAATACCCAGACCCACCCCTTTCCGTTCTCTCTCTCTCCTCTAAATCAAAAATTAATTAAAACAATGGCTTAATCACATTATATATTCCCTTATTTTTCCATCTTTTTCTTCCTTTTTTTTTTTCCATTGATAACCCCATTAACAAACTTCCATCTTCTGAGCTCAATATATTCCATCAATGGTGTCGGTGGAAGAAACCCACTCTAATTCTACTCGATTACATTCCATGTACGCTAACTTTCACTCCCCTTCTTCTCTCTCCTCTGCTTCTTCTACCCAGATATGGCGAGAACGAGGCCGCTCCATGAGAACCGTTCGTTCTACCATCTTCTGCCCTTCTCCTTCCCCCTCCACCGGCGCCGCCGACCTTCCGCCGCCGCACCCTCCGACGGCCAGCAACTTCGTCTCCGAGAATCTCACTGACTCAGTCATGGACATCCGACTCGGTGAACTCGCTTCTCGAACTGCTAAATCGATCAAATCTTCCTTCGCTGATGATGATTTCGGACTTCTCGATGATCTCTCTCGGTCTTTCAGCGACTACTCTGTTTGTAGCAGTGATATTTCCGGCGAGCTTCAGAGGTTAGCTGCGACTGCTTCGATCGGGCCGGGTTCGGGTCCTGGATCGGGTGAAATGGATCGAGAGCCCGAACCATGTGAAGGGTTTCTTCAGAGAGAGAGCTTTTCGACGGAGATTATCGAGAGTATTTCGCCGGAGGATTTACAGCCGACGGTGAAGCTCTGTGTTGACAGCTTATCCTCGCCGTCGGCGGCGATTAAACGGTCAGCGGCGGCGAAGCTAAGGTTGTTGGCGAAGAATCGGGCCGATAATCGGGTTTTGATTGCGGATTCGGGTGCTGTTCCGGGTTTGGTTCCGTTGTTGAAGTCTACTGATCCTTGGACTCAAGAACACGCAGTGACGGCGCTACTGAACTTGTCATTACACCCGGATAACAAGCGGCCGATTGCCGAAGCTTCTGGTGCGATAAAATCTTTAATCTATGTGCTGAAGACCGGGACAGAGACGTCCAAGCAGAACGCAGCGGCGGCGTTGATGAGTTTGGCGATGGTTGAGGAGGAGACGCGCCTTACAATTGGCGCGTCCGGGGCGATACCGCCATTGGTGGCGCTTCTTATAAATGGGACTTCGAGGGGGAAGAAGGACGCGCTGACGACGTTGTATAAGCTGTGTTCGGCGAAGTTGAACAAGGAGAGAGCGGTGAATGCTGGAGTGGTGAGTCATCTTGTGGGGTTGGTGGCTGATCAGGGGAGTGGGATGGCGGAGAAGGCGATGGTGGTGTTGAGTAGTTTGGCGGGGATCGAGGCGGGGAGGACGGCGATAGCGGAGGAAGGAGGGATAGCGGCGTTGGTGGAGGCGGTGGAGGAGAGCTCGCAGAAAGGGAAGGAATTCGCGGTGGTGACATTGTTGCAGTTGTGTGGGGAGAGTGTTAGGAATAGAGGGTTGTTGGTTGCTGAAGGGGGTATTCCTCCTCTTGTTGCTTTGTCTCAGATTGGCACGGCCCGTGCTAAGCAGAAGGTCAGTCTTGAACTAATCTTGATTGATATATTAGGTTTTGTGGTTAATTTGGTTTGTGATTGTATTGGTATGCTTGCATGTTGTTGGTTGATTAAGTTGTGGAATTGTAAAGTTAGGAATGTATGATTAGCTATAGAATTGTTTGGTTAGAAATGATTAGGTTATGAGATTTCAATGCTGAACTTGAAATGTTGGAGATTGAGATTGTGGAGAAAATTGTGAAATCATAAGTTGGAGTGATCATTTTGTGCTCAAGGAGTATGGATTTGGGTATAATTGAGTAGAATACTTGATGGTGTTTGGTTGTTTAACTTTAATTGTCAATCTTGCTTGATTAATGTAGAAAAAGGAGTGGTCTTTTGCAATAATTTTGTGAAGTTAGTATGAGATGACTGCATTTAACTCGAATTGGGTGATTTGAGTATGGATTGAATAAGTTATACTTGGTTGGCCAAAATTGATCATCAGTCCTAAAACACTATCAGAGAAGTGCATTGATAAGTGCTTTCTTTTATACTCCGTTCTTGATTGCTAATTCTTTTGATCTATGAAGGATTGTGATCGAAAAGTGAGGGATTTGGTAATTATGTCATGCAATTTCCTTTTAGGATATAGAGTTTTGGGTACTTAGGTCACACAATTTCCTTCCAACTACTGACTAGTTCATATGCACTCTTTTAAAAGGAAGAAGGTTTGTTTCTAAACTAAGCTAAGCTATTGGGGTTGATTAGCCATTAATTAGGACATTAGGTTGCTGGTTGTTTAGAGACCTTGACGTGTTCCTTTCTAATGGATATCATCATTTTCTCGGGTAGTTTGGGAGCAGGGCAGAAGAGATCATCTGTTTAATCCAGACTCATAATCAACCTAACTAACTACGACTCATGATGCTTCAATTACGTTTTGACCAAGAGTAGTTAAAGTGTCTGAGACATGAGACTCCGTCAAGATTTAGATTGCCATTACGAGCTTACTTTATAGTTTGTCAAAATAATTCCACTATAGTGTTGATTCTATTTGTTTTGGTGAGGTGACTTTTTTTTGGTGCGAGCAGTTGATTTACTATATTCTTATCATCTTTTGTTAATTATGACAGGCTGAAACCCTTCTTAAAATATTGAGGGAGCCAAGGAAACAAGAGGCAGCTTCGTCGTCAAGTCCTTAACAACCAACCGAAGTGGTATATTTTGCAATTAACTTTGGGGTTTTGCTTCCGTAGTACTGTATATATCGAGGAGGAAGAGTGGTTTTGCCTTTGGTGGTGTCTAGTATGTACAGTTGTGGTTTTTGGGAAAGTACTGGAGAAACTTATTATTAGGAACTGTATTGAGATCTTCCTCAAGCTGACTTAGATATTCATTAGTAGTTTGCAAATAGGTTCTCTGTTTATCTTCTCCAACCTTCCTCTCTTGTAGTCGTCTTTTTTCCTCTTTACGTAGCCGCCACATATTTGGAGATGGCCGAAGTTCTTTGTGAATCAGTTTCGCTTCTCAGAAGTTCGGGCTTTACGGGGTTCTAGTCCTTCCAATTTTTTGTTCCAGTGGTGCAAAAATTTGTATGAAGCTTATTAGTAACATTTTCGTAGTATTATTTATCGGATGTACTATCTGTATGAAGTTATTAGTGTAGATGTGCTCAGAGCCTCAGAATATGAATTGATGGAAACAAGAGGGTACTTGCAATCCATCTTTAGCTTTGGGTTACATTAGAGGAATTGTCGAAGTTGTACATGTGTAATGTTTGGGTGTAAAGCTATTATCCAAATGATATTGTTAGGTTGTTGGGTGTTGTGAAATTGTGACTGAGTTTTTTTTTGTCATCTCATCTTCAGGCAAGATTATTGATAATTGATTGTATGTCCTGAAAAATTTCACTACTCCCTTCACCCATACTTGTATGTTTTGCACGTTGAGATTTGGTGTGACTAAGTAAATGATTGAGCTCAAATATTTGTTCAATCCAAATCTAGTAAAGATCTAGTTATGACCATGATCCTTAGCATTGAGTCGATTTAAAATGTGTCAAAACTTTAAATTTACTACCTATGGTATTTCCATACTAACATGAGGAAAAGGCTATGGGAGTTGGAGGATGTGAGGTTATAAAATTACACACGAATGTAAAATGGACACCCTAATGGCCTAAATTGCCTGTATTAGGCAGTGTTGCGAAAAGCATTACTCCGTCCATTTGAGTTTGGGTGTAACTAATTGTAAGCCAATGGTTGGTACGGTTTGATTCCTTGCATCAATATTTTTCTTCTCCTTGTACTAGTAGTGTAGTTAATCATATAAAGAAATTCGAAGAAGTAAATTATCACAAATTTGCTACTTGGTATATTTTACCCAAGATAGTAAAAATCTTGATTGCCGACATGAAGCTCCTGATCCATAAAAAATTGCCATAATTGGGAGCAAAACTTAGGTGCTAAAGCTTGATGCATAAATTGGTGATGATATAACAAGGACAATTTGAGAGATGAGACCCATTTGCAATTATTTGGCTTTGTATTTTTGTACTAGGACTCCTTTGACAAGGAGGATCTCTTTGTCACCCTAAAGACAATGACAACACAATTTTTCTCAAAACTTCTTTCGTCTTCACCCTTCTCACTGTTACTTCAATTCTTTTGCAAATTCCAATCACATAAAGTTTTTGTGATTGTGGCTTTACAAGGTGACGTTAGAAGAATAGAAGCCCCCCTTCAAACTTATGGTATTTGTCATGTGGGCTACATTTTTTGTTTTGGAATTTACGGTATTTGTTTTTGGGGGTTTATTTTCTACCTATCTCGTACAATAAATGATTAAATTCCATAGAGTTTGGTCTATTTGTTATTTTGTAAACATATTTTCCTCGAGTTAATAAAACTATCCTCACAATAGTTCATAGACTTAAACTCTCCTCTCCTCTCCTTGTTCATATTCTTGATTATTGATTTTTTAAATCTTTCTTGCATATATAATAACACATGGCTATTTTGATACAATAATCAACTTGATGTGATATAATGATTGATCATTCTGAAATTTTTAATAATAACCATTCATGATGTATATCACATAAGCTAGGCTTGAATCCCTCGATTCCCTTCTCAAACCTCTTTTTGAAATCCTTGATACACATCACCTTTGAATTTGACACTAGGTAGTACGCGAATATGAGGAAGTAGTGAGGGAGGTTAGTTATACATTTGGGTTATGCATTTGCAAATGCATAACAAACTAAAATATTAAAAAGCACATGGGGATGAGAGAAAGGAGGAAAGAGATGGGTAAGTGCGGCCATTTTTTAAATGTACCGTTGAAAGCTTAGATAATACCATTGACTTGTAGTGATACTATTTCTACCGTAGTGATACTATTTCTACACGTACTGAGTACCACTGAATGAATATATAATACCACTACATACATAAATAGTACCACTGAAATGTTCAATGATATCATTTAATCATCTAGTGATACAATTGATCACCCAGTGGTACTACTCTAAATTCAGAAATGCATTTACGTGAAATGATCCCCATGCCCCTCGTTATGCATTTACTCATACATAACTAATCTCCCTTTGGAAGGCCTCCGCGAATATGAGGCAAAATGGTCAAAGGAGAGCCCATATAGAAGAAGGAAAGTATTTGAGGAGCCTAAGTGATGGTAGTATTATAAAAACAACTTTTTAGTGCAGCAGGCCACACCATGCGGCAGGAGTTACCGAGTTTTTTTTACTAGGGTTATCTAAGTTTTTTCAGTCATGGGCTGCTTGAGTTTCTTGAGTTTTTCGGTCAGGGGTTACTTGAGTTACTTGGCCAGGGGTTACTTGAGGGGTTCGGGTAGGGGTTACTCAAGGGGTTCACTCGATTAAGGGTTACTTAGTCAGGGGTTACTCGAGTTTCTCATTGAGGGGTTATTCGAGTTTCTCGGTCAGGCCGCATACAAAAAATTGTGACTCGAGTAATTAAGAAACTCGAGTAACCTAGCAACTCGAGTAACCCCTGACTGAAAAAACTAGATTACCCTTGACCGAGAAATACAAATAACCCTGGAAACTCGAGTAACCCATGACCGAGAAATTCAAGTAACCTCAGAAACTTGAGTAACCTCTTGACTGAGAAACTCAAGTAACGTTGAAAACTCAAGTAACTCCTCACTGAGAAACTCAAATAACCCCTGCCGCACAGTACAACAGGCCGCATATAAAAATTTGTGTTATAAAAAGGGTTGGGCTCATTAGAAGCTTTGTTTTATAATAGAAGTGTTTGGTTGAGAGAGGTTCAATTCAAATGAAATGAATCCAACAATTTAGTCGGGATCGTAGGAGGTTTTTGAAAGAGATTTTATTTATTTATTTTTGAAACAGGGTTTTTAAAAGAGATTAGAGATATGTTGGTATCTGTGATTGTGAAATAATTATTATATGAAAATATTATTCAAATTTACTACGTTTACCTATAATTTCTTAATATTCACCGATTTACAATTTAATCCAACTAACTAAAAAACTACGGAGTAATAAAAAATTACTAAATTTTTTAATTAAACAACCAATATAATCAAACAGATGAAAGTTAAATATGTTAAGACTAAAACCTCCAAAATTTCTCAAAAAGCATGGATATTAGCCTTCAATTTTGAATTTTTTTTACTTTTTTTTACCCAGAAATAAAAATTGCCGAAATGTTTACCATGGTCCCTGATACCCTTCGGGAGTCCAATTGGCTGGGTGGAACCATCCAATTTGCCTTTAAACGACCAATTTACCGGTTCACAACTTGTACCGATTTCATTAACTCAAGCCTACCACGAACATTTATGACAACATATAATGATCATATATGGATCCAAACGACATTATATGACCCTGAGATGTATCCCAAAAAATCTCAATTCTTTTCGACACCGGGCCCTGAATTATTCGAAATTTATCAAAAAGCATGGATATTAGCCTTCAATTTTGGAATTTTTTGACTTATTTTCGCCCGGATATAAAAATTGCCGAAATGTTTACCATGGTCCCTAATATCCTCCGGGAGTCCAATTGGCTGGGTGGAACCATCCAATTTGCCTTTAAACGACCAAATTATCGGTTCACAACTTGCACCGATTTCATTAACTCAAGCCTACCACGAACATTTATGACAATATATAATGATCATATATGGTTCCAAACGGCATTATATGACCCCGACATGTATCTCCTAGAATTTCAATACTTTTTGACATCGGACCCCGAAACCTTCAAAATTTCTCAAAAAGTGTGGATATTAGCCTTCAATTTTGAATTTTTTTTACTTTTTTTTGCCCAGAAATAAAAATTGTCGAAATGTTTACCATGATCCCTTATACCGTCCGGGAGTCCCATTGGGTGGGTAGAACCATCCAATTTGCCTTTAAACGACCAATTTATCGGTTTACAACTTTCACCGATTTCATTAACTAAAGCCTACCACGAACATTTATGGCAACATATAATGATGATATATGGTTCCAAACGGCATTATATGACCCCGAGATGTATCCCCTAAAATCTCAATGTTTTTCGACATCGGGCCCTGAAACATTCAAAATTTCTCAAAAAGCGTGGATATTAGCCTTCAATTTTGGAATTTTTTGACTTATTTTCACCTAGAAATAAAAATTTCCGAAATGTTTACCATGGTCCCTAATATTCTCCGGGCGTCCAATTGGGTGGGTGGAACTATCCAATTTGCCTTTAAACGGCCAATTTATCGGTTTACAACTTGTTAGATTTCATTAACTCAAGCCTACCACGAACATTTATGACAACAAATAATGATCATTTATAGTTTGAAAGGACATTATATGACCCCAAGATTTATCCCCTAGAATTTCAAAACTTTTCGACATCGGACCCTGAAACCTTCAAAATTTCTCAAAAAGTGTGGATATTAGCCTTCAATTTTGAATTTTTTTTTTTACTTTTTTTTAGCCCAGAAATAAAAATTGTCGAAATGTTTACCATGATCCCTAATACTGTTCGGGATTCTTATTGGATGGGTGGAACCATCCAATTTGCCTTTAAACGACCAATTTACCGGTTTATAATTTGCACCGATTTCTTTAACTCAAGCCTACCACGAACATTTATGACAACAAATAGTGATCATATATGGTTCCAAACGGCATTATATGACCCTGAGATGTATCCTCTTGAATTTCAAGATTTTCGACACCGGGCCCCGAAACCTCCAAAATTTCTCAAGCGTGGATATTAGTCTTCAATTTTGGATTTTTTTGACTTTTTTTTGCCCGAAAATTAAAATTGCCGAAAATTTTACCATGGTCCCTAATACCCTCTTGGAGTCCAATTGGGTTGGTGGAACCATCCAATTTAACTTTAAACGACCAATGTACCGGTTTACAACTTGCACGGATTTAATTAACTCAAGCATACTACGAACATTTATGATAACATATAATGATCATATATGGTCCCAAATAGTATTATAAGATCCCGAGATGTTTCTCCTAAAATATCAAGACTTTTCTACGCTGGGCCCCAAAACCACCATAATTGTTTAAAAAACGTGGATATTAGCCTTTAATTTTGGAATTTTTTGACTTTTTTTTCGCCCGAAAATAAAAATTGCCGAAATGTTTACCATGGTCCCTAATGACCCCCCCGGGCGTCCAATTGGGTGGGTGGAACCATCCAATTTTCCTTTAAACGACCGATTTACTGTTTACAACTTGTAGAGATTTCATTAATTCAAGCCTTCCACGAACATTTATGACAACAAATAATGATCATATATGGTTCTAAACGGCATTATATGACCCTGAGATGTATCCCATAGAATTTCAAGACTTTTCGACACTGAGCCCCGAAACCTCCAAAATTTCTCAAAAAACGTGGATATTAGCCTTCTATTTTGAAAATTTTTTACTTTTTTTTTCGCTCGAAAATAAAAATTGCTGAAATGGTTACCATGGTCCCTAATACATTCAAAATTAAAGGCTAATATCCAATTTGCTTTTAAACGGCCAATTTAATGATTTATAACTTGCACCGATTTACCGGTTTACAACGGCCAATTTAATTAACTTGCACCGAACTCGACTTGAACCGAAATTGACCCAATCCCATTTTAACCCGTCAAAATCTGAATTTAACCCGATTTGTTAATAACCTGACCTGACTTCAACCCGACCCGTTCCTAACCCAACCCGAATTTAACCCAACCTGTTACAAACCTGACCCGAAATCAACCCGACTTGTTATTAACCTAAACTAAATTCAACCCGACTTGTTATTGACCCGACCCGAATTTTATCAGACCTATTACTTACCCGACCCAAAAATTCAACTTGATCTTTTACTGACCCAATTCGAAATTAACACGATGTGTTATTGACCCTACCTAAATTCAACCCAAATTGTTCCTGACCGATTTCAAATCACCTTAAATGCAATTTAGACCACCTTATTATTGTTGATCAAAGCATTTTGTCTAGGGAGACCAAGTCGGTCCACGCCAACAAAAGAAAGGAGCATCATCCTCAAATTTAAGAGTTAAATATAGTATATATTTGTTGTATGGTCAAAGGAGTTAGTTATCGATCTTCCTAAATTATAGATTATAGTTCCCTCGTATATTGTCTTATATTTCCTCTGTTCTATTAATATTGCAACAAGGACTTTTTGCACTATTCATCACTCTTGTTTGGCCATATAATATGAGTTATACGTTAAGCAAAATATAGTCAAGTGGGATCTTGTTGGATTCGTCTCATAAAATACTTTCACAATATTAATTATTTATAATTTTTACTCTTACACAATTATAGATATTTAGCATATAAAAGGTGTTTCGGGATGCGTAATTTCCTACTTGTTGCAATATTAACAGAACGGAGGAAGTATATTATAGTCAAAGGAAATAATTAGCTTGATAAAAATGATAATTATCTATTTATAGTTAGTTGAACCCGAATATGACCTGATTTGAAAATGACCCGACCTGATTATAACCTGCAAATTATTGACTTGAACATAACCTGACTTGAATCCGAGGATGACCCGACTTGGAAATAACTCAACCTGATTATTTACCCAAATTATTGACTTGAACTGAACTTGACTTGAACCCGAGAATGACCCGACCTGATTATAATCCGCAAATTATTGCCTTGAATCGAACTCGACTCAAACCCGAGAATGACCCGACCTGATTCTAACCCGCAAATTATTGACTTGAACCGAACCCGACTCGATCGAACCTAAGAATTACCCTAACCCGTTTTATCCCGTGAAAACCTGAATTAAACCCGACCTATTGTTCACCTGACCCGAATGTAACCCGACCTGTTATTAACCCGAACTAAACCCGACCCAAATCCGATAAGAAGTATGACTCGACTCAAGTATGACCCAAACCTGACCTGCATAGGTTATGGAATTAATCCAAATTGACTTGACCCGAGTTACCCGATCCACTCTTACCCGACCCAAACCCTACCCGTTTATCTGAATTAACAGATGTAGTTAAGAACCTCTTGAAGCTGAAGTCGTAAAAAGTATTTAGCTAAAATAAATTTTAATTGTTTGGGCCGCAACTTGGGTTTTATAAGTATAATTATATGTCGGGCCTTGATTCCTTCCATTTATAACTAACTTTAGGTTTTATGTCATGTAATTCTCTCTGATTTATTTCCCTCCAAAAAAAAAAAAAAAAAAAAAAAAAAAGTTAATTTAAATAGATGAATGAGGACTTTAAGATTAGTCGTAAAAAGCTGTTTCTACGAGGTTCCTTCCCTCCATTGTTACGCATTGAAGCTCGGAACCATAGAAAGCACTTACGATGCAAACGTTATCCTAAGTGGGTATACGAAACATGGTCATTTGAAGATTGCACACCAACTGTTCGACGAAATGTCTCGCAGAGATACCGTTTCTTGGAACACCATGATTGCTGGCTATGTAAATTCTGGATCTTTTGGTCTCTCTTGGGATCTTTTAATTGATATGAGACGGCGTGGATTCGCGGCCGATGAGTACACTTTTGGTAGTATTCTTAAGGGAGTTGCTTCCAATGGGGAGTTTATTTGTGGGGAGCAATTGCATTCTATGGTTATTAAGGTGGGGTCTCAATCTGATGTTTATACTGCAAGTTCCCTTTTGGATATGTATGCTAAGTGTGGGAGGATCGAGGATGCGTATTCGGTGTTTAAGATTATGCCTAACCGTAGTTCTGTCTCTTGGAATGCTATGATTGCAGGGTTTGTGGAGCAAGCAGATTTCGAGACTGCATTCGAGCTTTTCGATGGTATGGGAAAAGAGGGGGCAAAGATTCAAGATGGGACAGTTGCTCCAGTATTGACATTACTTAATGACCCTGATTATGTTAGGTTAACTATTCAACTGCATTCAAAAATTATCAGGCTTGGGTTGAGTACTAACAACATTGTTTGCAATGCTCTTCTTACGTCATATTCTGAGTGTGGTTCGTTGGAATATGCAGAGAAGATGTTCTATGGTGCCTTTGATGTTCATGATTTGGTAACTTGGAATTCCATGCTGGGGGCATACCTTCTACATAACAAGGAAAGCCTTGCATTTAAAGTATTTATTGATATGCAATTGTTTGGTTTCGAACCTGATATATATACGTATACCAGTGTTGTCAGAGCCTGTTTCAAAGAAGCACATCAGCTGTATGGAAAATGTGTCCATTGCTTGATAATAAAGCGGGGACTAGAGAGTTCCACAGCAATAGCCAATGCATTAATAGCTATGTATATGAAGTCGACTGAAAAAGCTGTAGCAGATGCACTAAGATTGTTTGAATCAATAGACCCTAAAGATTCCGTGTCTTGGAATTCTGTTGTAACTGGGTTCTCACAGTTTGGCTTGAATGAAGATGCAATTAAGTTCTTTGGAAAGATGCGGTCACATAATTATGGGATTGATCACTATTCTCTTTCTGCGGTCCTGAGATCTTGTGCAGACTTAGCAGCCCTGCAATTGGGCCGGCAAGTTCATGTTTTGACTCTTAAATCTGGATTCGAAACTAATGAGCATGTAGCTGGCTCCTTAATTTTTATGTATACTAAATGTGGCCTACTTGACGATGCTAGAAAGTCTTTTGAAGAAACCCCAAAAGACAGCCCGATTACTTGGAACTTTATCATTTTTGGGTATGCTCAGCACGGGCAAGGCAAAATCGCTCTTGAGCTTTTCCATCAGATGACAGAAAGTAAGGTGAAGCTTGATCATGTAACCTTTGTTGCAGTCCTAACTGCATGTAGCCACATGGGTTGGGTGGAAGAAGGTCGAAATGTTCTTAAAACAATGGAATCAAAGTATGGGATTCCACTAAGAATGGAGCATTATGCTTGTGCTATTGATATGTTTGGAAGAGCTGGGCTCTTAGGTGAGGTGAAGTCCTTGGTCAAATCAATGCCGTTTGAGCCTGATATAATGGTGTGGAAAACTATATTGGGTGCATGTAGAAGCTGCGGAGATGTCGAATATGCAACTGAGGTAGCAAATCATCTGCTTGAAATCGCTCCTCAAGAGCACTGTAGTTATGTTATTCTGTCTGAGATGTATGTGCGTCTTAAGAAGTGGGAAGAAAAGGCTAATCTGACACGGTTGATGAGAGAAAGGGGGATAAGGAAGGTCCCAGGAAGCAGCTGGATAGAGATAAACAATGAAGCCCATGCTTTTAATGCCGAGGATAATTGTCATCCCAATGTCAAAGAAATATATGATACCTTGGAAGGAATTACAAAGGAAATTAAAATGCTAAAAGATGCCTCTAACTTAGAGATTTCTGTTGAGGAATGGGCTGTCCTTAATGGATGCTGTGGTTAATTGCTGATGACTCGCTGACAGTTCAAGCATATATCGTGGACTTGGCAGCAAAGGTAGTTATTTGTACAAATTTATATTGTATTCTTGCAGAGTGTAGTAGTAATCTTTAGGCTTAGCATGCTATCTGATTCATCAAATTATGACAACATGCTCAACCTTTGTTGCTTTATTTTGCATAAAATGGCAGTGACAATTAGAAATATTAGAGGATGTGGATACCCAATTACACTGTTATACAATATACATTAAACAAGATAAAACGGGTTATAGAGGGAGATGCCTCAGTGTTGAGCACAACTCTGGCGGCTTCTGTGCCACAATTCTGGATCATGTTCAAGGTGGTGTCTGTCAAAAGGTGAGTAAAATATCCTTATGCTAATTTTTATGCTCTCATAACCTGCATCTTCAATAGAATGAGTACTTGAATTCGAATTGAATTTAATAAATGCATAGTTGTACTTGTATTGTTGCTCAAAATGGGAATGCACTTGGTATACTGATAAAAAGCATATTCTTATACAAAGAATTTTGTTACGGAAAAATAGCAATACATAAGACTTCTTACAGTGCGCACTGGATAATAACCCCAACGAGAATCAAATCCATCCCCTGATTTTCACATACTTCGTATTAGATTTTACTCATGGTAAAGTGTTTGTGCTCATTTGAGTATATGACTACTAAATCCGGACAGAGTATTACGTAACGTTATAATGTTGTAGCCTTGCTGATGCACACAAGACTGAATCAAGTCATGCACCACTTACACTGACCATTACATTGTAAATTCAAAGGGAACCTTACGTTTGAAAATGACTTCATGATATAAGGTTAAAAGTATTTTCCTAATTTGTTCTTTTTGTTATCACGATTCTTCTTTACTACTTTTTTCCTTTGATAAAAAAAATGAAATTTTGGCATTGTTACTTGTTAGGATTTGTGTTGGCGTCTTTTCACTTGATTTTCTTTTTATCCTTTCTAATAGGCCGGGAGTGTGACTGTGTGAGTGGTGGTATCAATGACATGTAACAGCCACGGATCCATAAATAAGCTTTTGTGTCAAATTCCAATGAAAAAAGCACACGTTTTGCTGTTTTTAATCACTAAAACAATTCAATTACAATGAACCACTTATTATTAGAATAAATCACAATTTAGCTCCTTTAGAAAAACATGTTAAAAACAGTGATACTAAAAAAGGTTAGGGTCATGCCATGGGGAAATGTCATTGAATATATGTTTAGTTGGTAAAGTCTCGAGATATATATCGATTTCTAGTTATTCTCTCCATACCTAAAAATATTAGTATATGGTCTTTGTTGATAAAGTTTGTATGAGCATAAGTTCACTTGCAATGATTATTGATTAGTTTAGCATATTAATGATGATCATATTCCAATTTTAAAAAAGTGACAGTATTTTTGAATTAAGAAAAGAAAAGCTTAATTATGATTGTTTACTAACCCATTTTCAAAGGAAGGATATATACAAAACTTTAAAGAAAATTCTATGAAAAATTTGATTCTTCACGCAACCAACTTCATTTACATAGAAATTGCAAGAAAGCTATTCCATCCGGCTTGTGCTTTTGATGGCTAAGTAAGAATTTCCGAAATCATTATCGCATTATGGCTAGCTTTGCTTATTTTACTTGATCACTACCAATCAAGATTCACTAACTTTGTTCTCCTGTTTTTTTTCTCCACCTAGAAGCCTAGGCTTGAATCCCTTCTCTAGCATATGCTCCACCTCCTCAATGGGTAGACCTTTGGTTTCGGGCACCAAGATGTAGATTAAAATGAGTCCGATTATAGAGAAACCGGCGAACAAGAGGAAGGTTCCTGCTGATCCCAAAGCTTCAGTTAGGGTTAGGAATGTTTCACTAACAATGAGATTAGCTGTCCAGTTAGCCACAGCAGCTATCCCTCCACCAATTCCTCTGTACCTCAAAGGATATATTTCTGAGTTGACGATCCATGGTGCTGTTCCCATCCCCGGGGAGTAGGATATAATGTATGCTCCTAGGAGAATGACAGCCAAAAAGCCCAATTTGCTAGGACAACCTTCTGTGAAGTACACTCTTCTCTCCTTTAGACATTCTGCTTTTGAGTCATCTGTTTTTGACACACATGCTCCTGGATACAACTGATAATATACAAAAAAGAAGAGCAAGGAATCTGATTAATATGACTAGTACTTTGAAAATAACACAAGACATTTGAAAGTTTCAGTAAATGTACCTCATTTCCTTGATTTGCACAGAAAGCACAACCTGAGGTGCTTTTTAAACAAGTCATACAGTTCCAAGTTGCTGGATTTTGAGCATTGGAAAAAGCAGGACAAGTAGAGTTAACTCCAAAATGGGTAGATTCTGCAACACTGATTCTAGGAGCATGCGCAGCAGCTTGATAGAAGACAATAGCCAAGGCAATGAGGCATGTAATGATGCCAAACAAAGAGATGATCATAAGCCTTCTTCTCCCATACCTGTCAACAAACATCATGCTGACAATCGACCCAACTGCATTGAGTCCGGAGGTTATTAAAGAAAGAGCCATGGCCGTGCTTTTCGAGGCAATCCCTGCTAACTGCACAATTGTAGGGCTGTAGTACATGATCGTGTTGATACCCACAAACTGTTGAGCCACTTGAACTGTGACTCCAGCATATAGCCCTCTTCGAAAAACTCGGTTTCCCCAAGCATTCTTTATCTTGCTTAACATGTTACCTCCACCTACTAATTCATCCTCTGCTTTTTCAGAGTCAACCGATGTCTTGAGTGCTTTCATTTCCTCTTCCAACTCTTCCGCAGGATAGATCTTAGCCATGATAGCTTCTGCCTCGGACACTTTTTCCTGATTCCAACAAAGACAGGTAAAAAATTTTCGTCAAAATCTTGGAGTTGACAAAGCTTGGGAGGTCTACATTGGCTACACATATACTCTGTACACATTTTCCCTATAATTGTTCGGAATTGGTGACAAAATCTTGTATAAGAAGGTCTATTAATATGCAGTAACTTGCAGGAAAACCAGATAAATGTACTGTACTGTTTTTTTGTAGAGGCAACTTTAAACATCTGCTAATACTATGTAAGAGGTCTCACATGAGACTTGCCGAAGTTACTGTTGCACATTGTTCACACATACCTTTCTGTAAAGCCATCTAGGAGACTCTGGAAGGGACAACATCAAGATCAGTTGCACGAATGCTGGTATAGCAGCCACCCCCAACATCCATCTCCAAGTCCCCTTAACCTGATTAACAATACACAGGACCGTGTGCACGTCTACGTATGTTTGTAAGCATATAAATCACAGTATAACAATATCCACAAGAACTAAAAACTTTCTAAATACATACACGTAGAACATAAGATACATTACCCGAGTGAAACCAAGGTTGATGAGGTAAGATAAAAAACTGGCCTCCTGTGATGAGGAAACCATTAGTGCTAACAAGGGCACCTCGGATCCTGCTTGGGGAAGTCTCGGATATGTATAATGGCGAAGTCATGGAAGCCATTCCAACTCCTAGGCCAACGAATATTCGTCCAAGTATGATCACCCATGGAGCAGGAGCAAGGGACATGATAACAGCACCAATGAAGAACAAAACATCAGCAATTATAATTGTTGGTCTCCTCCCTATCTTATCATTTAGCCACCCTCCGAGTCCTGCTCCAATGATTGCTCCTGCAACCGCCATTGACACAATGGTTTCCTACCAAACAAATCATCCTCAAAATATCTCAAAACTTCATTTCATTGTTACGTTACACATCAAAGTTCTAATACTCAAAAGATGTCAATTGATAGAGCATTAATCACAGAGTACATGTTAGAACCTATCTGATGCAACATTCGTAAATAACACCTAAAGAATGCTATTAATATAAATTAAAGACAATAATTTTGTGTTTTAGTGAGTAACAAACCTGCAACCATGTTTTTTGTTCCACTTCTTTAAAATCTTCCTTAATGTAAAGAAGAGCCCCAGATATAACACCTATACAATCAAATTAATCATCATTATTCACAACCAATCTTCTTCAAGCATAAATCTTTGACATAAATTTTATACATTTACACAATAACCACCACATTTAATACAAACCCCGCCTTAGACTGACAAGCGTTACAGTCACAGACTGTGTGGTCTAAGGCGGGTTTGGTTCACATGTACGCAACCTTACGTCTAATCAATCAAAGCGAATGTAAATTGAGTAAAATTAATAAACAATAAGATTAAAAAAAGCAAACCTGTGTCATAACCAAAGAGAAGGCCTCCAATGCCAGCAGAAAGAGCAAGCCTCATAACAAAAGGAGTTTTTCCAATTGTTTTGAAACATTCTGTAAACTCTGTTCTATCTGCCTTTACAATTCCACCTTCCACCATTTTATTTTGCAAATTTCTGTCTCTTTATTTTTAAGAAATCAAAATATTTCAGTATATAAGAGAGTGAAAAGAAAAAGAGGAGTAAAAAAGGAGAGAAATTTGTGTAACTATTTTTTTTCAATAAATTTTTGTCACAAGTAGTGCGAGTATTTCCTTGATTATACTAAATGACGTCGTTTGAAAAGATGAAACAAATCAGAATACTCTGGAAGTCTGGATAGAGAAAGATATGAAGAAGAAATTTCTTATTTTTGTTGAGGAAAAAAGAAATTCATTGTTTGATGAACAATAAATTTCTTATAATCCGGGTGTAGAAAATCGGACTTGTAAAGTTTATCTTGGACTACATGAGAATTAAATTATGGATTATTATAACAAATTACTACGGAGTACTCGATATGGATTAAGTATAAGACTAAAAGATTAAGGATTGATTAACTTGGTCATCGGTATATTATACGCTTTTGTAGTGAGTAAAGGATAATTCTAAGCAGAGGATATTAGGATTAGTATAATGTACATATTTATTACTTCTATTATTATGATCTATCAAATATTCAAATCCATTTCACAATGAGGTAAAAAAAGAATAGAATGAATATGTATGGAAGGTAATAACATAAATAAGGAAAATTCTAAAAGCAAAGATCAAAAGATATTTTGCTATTATAATGTTTACAAAGAAAGAAGCATTTTTTTTTTTTTAAGAGCAAAGGTTATATACTTGCATGAGCATAAATGCAATTGCAATAATTATTTTTTTGGTGTTTAGAGAGCCACAATGGCGGGGTGAGAATTGATCCCAGAATCTCCTGAAATCGGGAGGAAAGCTCTAACCACTTGAGCTATCCCTCACTCTCTCAATTGCAATAATTATTGATTAGGTTAGCATATTAATGTTGACCATATTCTAATTTTAAACAAGAGACGGTACTTTTGACTTTAGAAAAAGAAGCTTAATTTTAAGTGATTACAATCAATTTTCGAGGGAAAGATATATACAAACAATAAAAAAAATACACATTTGATGAAGAATTTGATTCTTCACGCAACCAAGCAAATACAACAACTTAGAAATTGCAAGAAAGCTATTCCATCAAGCTTGCGCTTTTGATGGCTAAGTAAGAATTTTCGAAATCATAATCGAACTATGGCTAGCATTGCTTATTTTACTTGGTCATGACTAATCAAGATTCACTACTTTTGTTCTCCTGCTTTTTCCCTTCACCTAGAAGCCTAGGCTTGAATCCCTTCTCTAGCATATGCTCCACCTCTTCAATGGGTAGCCCTTTGGTTTCGGGCACCAAGATGTAGATAAAAATGAGACTGATTATTGAGAAACCGGCAAATAAGAGGAAGGTTCCTGCTGATCCCAAGGCTTGGGTTAAGGTTAGGAATGTTTCACTAACAATGAGATTAGCTGTCCAGTTAGCCACGGCAGCTATCCCTCCACCAATTCCTCTGTACCTCAATGAGTATATTTCTGAGTTGACGATCCATGGTGCTGTTCCCATCCCCGGGGAGTAGGATATAATGTATGCTCCTAGGAGAATGACAGCCAAAAAACCAAATTTGCTAGGACAACCTTCTGTGAAGTACACTCTTCGCTCCTTTTGACATGCTGCTTTTAAGCCATCTGTTTTTGACACGCATGCTCCTGGATGCAACTGATAATATATCGAAAAGAAGAAACAAAGAACCAAATTAATATGACTAGTACTTTGACAATAATTATGTTAAAAAGCAAAGACATTAAGAAGTTTTAGTAAGTTTACCTCATTTCCTTGGTTTGCACAGAAAGCACAACCTGAAGTACGTTTTTAAACAGGTCATACAGTTCCAAGATGCAGGATTTTGAGCAGCTGTATAAGCAGAACAAGTAGAGTTAACTCCAAAATTACTAGTTTCTGCAAAACTGATTTTAGGAGCATGCGCAGCAGCTTCATAGAAGACAATAGCTAAGGCAATAAGGCAAGTAATGATGCCAACCAAAGAGATGATCATAAGCCTCCTTCTCCCATGCCTGTCTACAAACATCATGCTTACAATCGACCCAACTGCATTGAGTCCGGAGGTGATTAAAGAAAGAGCCATTGCAGTGCTTTTCGAGGCAATCCCTGCAAACTGCACAATTGTGGGGCTGTAGTACATGATCGTATTGATACCCACAAATTGTTGAGCCACTTGAACAGTGATTCCAGCATATAACCCTCTTCGGAAAACTTGGTTTCCCCAAGCATTTTGTATCTTGCTTAACATGTTGTTTCCACCTACTAATTCGTCTTCTGCCTTTTCAGAGTCAACTGATGCTTTGAGTGCTTTAATTTCCACTTCCAATTCTTCCTCGGGATAGATCTTAGCTAAGATAGCTTCTGCCTCAGACACTTTGTCCTGATCCCAAAGAAAGGGAGAAAAATTTGTAAATTCCTTGGGAGTAAACAAAGCTTGAGAAGGTCTACATTGAATACATATATACACAACTTTCCCATAGAAAGTGTATGGATTTGGCGGCAAAATCTTTTATGACACGGTATTTTAATACTTAGTAACTTGCAGAAAAACTAGATAACAGTTTACTGTTTTTTTGTAGAGGCAACTTTAAACATCTGATAATATTTATGTAAAAGGTCTCAGGTCTCACATAAGACTTGCCGAAGTTAAAGTTGCACATAATTCACTCATACCTTTCTGTAAAGCCATCTAGGAGACTCCGGAAGGGATAACATTAGTACTAGTTGCACTAATGCTGGAATAGCAGCCACCCCCAGCATCCATCTCCAAGTCCCCTTAACCTGATTAACAATACACAGGACCGTGTACACGTCTAAGTTTGTTTGTAAGAATATAAATCACAGTATAACATTTTTCACAAGAAACTAAACTTAGCAAAATATATGTAGCACATACAGATGCATTACCTGAGTGAAACCAAGGTTGACTAGGTATGATACAAACTGGCCTATTGTGATGAGCAAACCATTAGTGCTAACAAGGGCACCACGGATCCTGCTTGGGGAAGTCTCGGATATGTATAAAGGTGAAGTCATAGAAGCCATTCCGACTCCTAGGCCAACGAATATTCTTCCAAGAATGATCACCCATGGAGCAGGAGCAAGGGACATAATAACAGCACCAATGAAAAACAAAACATCAGCAATTATAATTGTTGGTCTCCTCCCTATCTTATCATTCAGCCACCCTCCTAGTCCTGCTCCGATGATTGCTCCTGCAACCGCCATTGACACGATGGTTTCCTACCAAACAAATCATCCACACGAAAATCTCAAAACTTCATAACAGTGTTACTCCCTCTAAAGTTGTATAGCAGAGATTGTTTACTTAAAAGAGTAAATATTATCATTGTTTAGTCCTAATTAATTATGTTTACATTTGAACATAAGACATCAAATTTCTACTACTCAAAACATTCTTTGAGTAAGTAATTTGATGGTCTACACTCTACAATTCAATCAAAAGAGTATTAACTATGTCGTACACTATCAGATGTGTTATTTATACTCGTATTAGACATGTCAAACACGTTGGTCGTGTCCATTCTAAAATTTCACTCTAATGTGGTCAGATTTTGCTCAATTGAGCAGATTTATAAAAGTCTAAGCAGGTTTGAATTGGGTTTACACCAATCAATTTCAAATTCAAATCGAGTCAATTTTAGACACGTTAAGTTGGAACCTGAAGCAACATACGAAAATAACACCTAAATAATGCTAATTCATATTAATTTTCTTGTGAGATACATGTAATGCCATAGTCCAAACTTTGGTATCATCGAGATAAATTCTAACCAACAATCACAACAATTAAAAACAAACCTGCAACCATGTTTTTTGTTCCACTTCTGTAAAATCTTCCTTAATGTAAAGAAGAGCCCCAGATATAACACCTACACAATCAATTTAATCATCATTATTCACCACCAATCTTCTTCAAGCATAAATCTTGACATAATTTTATACATTTATGCAATATAACCACCATACATAACATAAACCCCGCCTTAACACACCGCGTTACACACCATAAATTGTTATATACACCCGGGTGCACGGTGCACCAAGGGTATTCTTTGCTCATTTCGGTGATTATTGCTCATTTTATCATCAAATATGCAAACAAACACCCTTGGGTGTACCGTACAGCCGGATGTATATAACAAGCTCTCTCCTAAGACGGGTTTGGTTCACATGTACGCAGCCTTATCTCTCTAATCAATCAAATTAAATGAAAATTGAGTAAAATTAAAAAACAAAAAGATTAAAAAAGCAAACCTGTGTCATAACCAAAGAGAAGGCCTCCAATGCCAGCAGAAAGAGCAAGCCTCATAATATAAGGAGTTTTTCCAATTGTTCTGAAACATTCTGTAAACTCTGTTCTATCCGCCTTCACAATTCCACCTTCCACCATTTTTTAGCAAATTTCTGTCTTTTTTTGTTTAAAGAAATCAAAACATTCAAGATTGTATTTAAGAGAGTGAAAGAGAAAAAAAAAAGAGAAATTTATGAAACAATCACATGTAGTGCGAGTATTTTCTTTAATGATTCGCAGTCAAAGTAAATAATATAATATTACGTCGTTTGAAAGTTGAAACCAATCAGAACAATCTGGATAAAGAAAGAAATTAAATTTATCTACCCTTTATTTGTTTGTTTGTTATACTTTGTTTGATTAGCAGTTAATTAATTTCTTATAATACGAGTGATTAGGTGTAGAATTAACGATTTAATCTTGTAAAGTTGAACTCTTACTCCATCTAGGACTATTAGAAGATCAAATTATGGATTATATTATCATAAATTACTCACTGATTGAGTATCATATTAAAAGATTGCCTCTTGAAGAAATTATTGTTTGGTCTAAGATGAGAATCAACGTTAGTATAGTCCATATACAATTGGACTGAGTAATGGACACTATTTATGTGTTTTTGTTCAAATTGATTCAAAGTCTAAACAAGTTGAGTTTTAATTGAGCTCTGTTTTCTTTCTTGATTAAAACTTGTTTGTAGGATTTAATTATAACTTAATATGACTTTTGTTGACATTTGTTATTATACATGATGTTACGGCACAAAAGAGGATAAATATCTTTTCAGTACCTTTTACTGTTTAGTACATCAAATTTATAAGACTGTTAATAATATGGAATGTATCATAATGGTAAATTTGTTAAGAAAAAAACACACAACTCATACTCTGTAATAAAACAAACTATTAAATTCATTTCACAATGACGCAAATAAGGAATACAATAAACATGTATGGAATGTAAATTGTCATAGCTTAGATAAAGACGTCAGAAATACAAATTTTCTAATGGAAAAAGTTTTAGAAATGAACCTCGAAGTTGTAACACGACTTCTTTATTATTCAATTCGACAAAGTTGTACACATCCAATGAGTAAAGATGGACCAATGTATATGTAAAAAATATAAGCGGTATAATGTAATAAAGGTAAAAAAAAATGCTTTAGAATTTCTAAAAAGAAAAGGAAAAAAAAAAAAAGAATGTGAATTAGATGCTTTAGAATTTATGTAGTATGTGTAGATTTACGTGATTCAATTTGGTATATTTACTTTGAAATTGTGGATAAGGATTATAACTCTCATCCTAAATTAAATTCATTGCATTACATTATCAAATTGGATAAGTTTAAAGAATTTTGCTAAAAAGGTTGAAATTCCCAATTAAGCACTTTGGAATGTACCTATTCCGATAATAACATACTCCATATATGGTTGTGGTGTCATAAGTTGGCATTGTTCATCGTAATTCCCAAAGCTAGTAACTGAATAAAATGAGTTGCCATCATGCGATAAATAGCTAATTGGCCATTGCATATGCCGTAGAATATACAAAAGAAGATAAGATAAAATATAGCAAATTTTGTTTCATATAACCAAAGATAACCCCGTTCAATGCAATGACGGTTAGCATTGGTTATAAACTTATGCAAGTGATAATGGTTGAAATTACGAAAAAAAAAAAACGAGGTTGCTCAAAATATCCTAAATCCTACTTCCTCCGTTCTTTTTTACTTAATACGCTTTGACTTTTACACTATTCACCACCCTTCTTTTGACCATGTTTTGTGAATAATATATAAGGAAAAACATATTTATGTTGGATCATTTTGAATTCGTTTCAATAAGTACTATTATAATATATAACTTTTATATTTTTTTTAATTATGGAGAATTAAAGTTATTAACCGTTAAAGTTTTGCATTGACAAGCGTGATAAAAAAACAAGTCAAGTAAAAAAGAACAGAGGAAGTATTTGATAAGAACTCTATTTTAATATTAATAAATGATTAAATGCATATTAGAGATGTTCATGGGTGGGACGGCCCGCTAAGCCCGCCAAACCTGGCCCGCAAAAAAGGCGGGCTTGAACAACCTTTTTGAAAAAAATTGGTTTTTTGGGCGGGCTAGGCCCGGCCCGTTAATGTAAATGGACGGGTATGGACAAGAAAATATGTGTCGTGGGCTAGCCCGCCCGGCCCGTTTATAATAATAATAATACTATTTTAATCATTTTTGTGTTATATTTAATAATAAAAATAATTCTTTGTGTATTTAAGAAAATAAAATAATCAATATAGAGAGACTATAATGAACTATAAGCTTTTATTGGTTACAATTATTTATTTTAATTTTATATTATGACATATTTTGTGTGTTTTTAATTTCTATTATCATTATTTGTGAATAAATATTTTTAAGACAACTCTACCAAAATAATTTTAGCACATGTAAATAATAAATAGATTAATTAGTGTTATAAAAAATAAAACAAAAATTTAAAGCCCGTTAGCCCGCGGGCAAGCCCGGCCCGTTTAGTAAGTGGGTATGGACAAAGTATCAAGCCTGCATAAAAGGGTTCGGGTTTGATACATGAAGCCCGTTGGACAAAAAAATAAGCATAAACCCGGCCCGCTACCCGCCCAAGCCTGCAAATGATCACCTCTAATGCATATATATCACACATCTTTAAATGAAAAGTAAGAAGATAAAATCTTCTCTAATATTAATCCGCAGCGTTTTTCAAAAAAAAAAAAGTAAGAATATAAATAAGAATATATAGATAATAGATTGAGGGTGTATGAAATGAATGGAAAAGCTTCCTTATCCTAAAGTAACTTTGATCATCGTTATTAGCTTACTAAAATTCTAGGGTTAAAGGAATATGTGAAAACTCATAAGTAATTTGACATTTAAGGTACATCTCATTAAAATTCAGAACGAATCAGTTCTAAGTCTACTTTTATAGACCCTTTTTTGGTAGTAAGCTTATTGGAAGTATATTAGCTTATTTGACTAACTTTAGCTGATTGACTAGTCAAACAAGCTAATACAAGTGTTTGGTAGTAAGCTTATTGAAAGAGCTTATTCCACTAAATAAGCTCTGTTTGAAAAAGCTCATTTTAAGAGCTTTTTCAATTAGCTTATTCATTAATTATTGTGAAATGACACTTATAACCTCATTTAATTTAAAATCCTATCTAAACTACCTAATCCGCAATTAGCTTATTGGTCATTTCACATACTCAATCACATTTAAGCTATCAGCTATTTACCAAACACTTTTATATAATCAGTTAATTTAATAAGTCAGTCAAATCAGTTAATAAAATCAGTTAGTCAAAATCAGCTAACTCAATCAGTTTCAGCTTTCAGCTTTCTTCCAAACAGGGTCATAATTTTTGTGAGAAGACTCACAAGCGTACAAATACATAGTAAAAATAAAAACTAAAAAAAAAAAAAAAAAAAAAAAAAAAAAATAAAATCAGAAAACTAAAAGGCCAATGATCCATCTGTAAAAGTCCACTCTGATGAATCTTATGAGAAGACTCAGAAGCCTACAAACTTCATTACTCCACACCAAAGACTATGCAGTCCACGTTATTGTCAAAATTGACTAATGGTCTATGATAACATGCATATTAGGGCTATCAAACGGGTCGTGTCGTGTCGGGTTCGTGTTCGTGTTGAAAAACCCTTGACCCAAACCTAACCCATTTATTAAACGGGTTGAAATCCCTTGACCCAAACCTAACCCGCTTATTAAACGGGTTACTCGTGTAACCTTTTACTAATATAGTATGTAAAAAACTATAATATTCAATATAAAAATTAAAAAGACATACATCATTAATTCATTAATGATACTACAAGAGTTTAAAATTAGTAATTATAGCAAAAGTACTACAAGAATTTAAAGTTGGTTGCTTTAGCAGCACAACCATACATAAGAATTGTCCTAAATTAACAATCAAATTTAATTTACAAAAGTTGAAATTTATTTTATCCACCAAATTAACTGCCAAAAAATACCTAAATGTATACATGGTGCCAAGGCAATTTACAAAATTACAAGTTTAGAAAAAATAAAAATCGGTTTTTGTTACTACTTTATTAATAGGTTAAGCGTGTCGGGTTCGAGTTAGCGGGTTGTCGATCAACCCATTTATATAATTGGGTTATGCGTGTCGGTTTCGGGTTGAAAATTTCCACCCAAACCTAACCCGTTTAATTTCGTGTCGGATCCGTGTCAACCCAATTATGTAAACGGGTCGAGAATAATTGACCCAAATCCGCTTATTTCGTGTCGGGTTCATGTCGGATTTTCGTGTCGTGTCAGCTTTTGACAGCCCTAATGCATATGTTGATGGCTTTAGTCAATTCAAGCAAGTGACTCATTTATCCTTAGACTTTTCTATATTAATAGAAATTAAAATTATTAAGAGCAGTAAAATTATTAATTCTTGACTCTTCCATTGGTAAATTTAGAATATTCAATTAAATCAATTTAAGTTGTCTTTCATCCCTGCATTTCTATAATATATGTTGCGCAAATTGTATTTTACTTACCTTCGTTTTCTTAGTTGACACGTATATTCCTTTTTAGGAAGTTTTTTTAGTTGATATATTTTCTTTTTGGGTAAGTTTTATACTTGTTTTTTTAGTGCACCTCACTTACTTTATCATTTTAAATAGTGTGAGGTAATAAAAAGCTTGTCAAATTGAAATAAAAAAAGTAAAAGTGAATCAAACTTTGTTGAATACCAAAAAACAAAATGGATATGATAATAAAACAATTATTCTACATGGCCATCTTTTGTTTGTATTTGTGACCGTGCTTATACCCGATCATGTGCAACCTAGGATAGTATATATATTAAAGAATATCTTGGTCAGCCTACCATGTAAAGTTGTAAGTAACATGTGAAAATAAAGATTTTAGAAAAATATTTAGTTTAGGAAATAAATTGTATCAAAAGAATACAAAATTGTAACTTACTAAAATTTTATGAGATGTGTTTATAAGTCCTTGAAGATTTCAAACTCAGAGTTGTTATGTTGTGTGATTAGTGGTGCCTTAGAAGCGAATTATTCCACCACCATCTGTGTGATCAATGTCTCTCTACTCCGATAATAAAACTATATATCTACACAATTCGTTAAACTAAAATTTGAAAACTAAAAACCACTCAAGAACTCACAAGAATATTTTTGTTGAAAAATCCAAATAATTCTTACATTAACTAATGAGTTGTGTTACATAAATACTCAATTTGGTGG